GAGTCCCAAATAGCTCCTCTTAAAGGGCAAGCATGCGGACTTACTCAGACTCTCACCCTCTGAGCTCCAGCACTGGGGTAGTGGCTTAAAGGGCACCCTTGGAAAGGAACTGAAGTGTCTGGCATCAGGGCAAGGGCTGGGAGACAGCTCTCTCCCATAAAGAAGTGCTGGTAGAGGTCACTGTTCTTTTTCTGAACTCTTACCCCCCACAGAGCTACAGAGCCAGCCATCTCTGAGACTCCATCAACCTGGCTTACATGGTTTGCTCTGCCCTGGGGAATCCTTGAGGCTCTGCCCCACTTAAGGTTATAGCTCACTCAAGGTTACAGCTTACCCAAGCTGTTAGCTGTGGCTTTTCCATGTGAACGGCTGGTCACAGCTCAGGCTTCATATCTTCCTAAATCTTTTCAAACAAGCAACAACCAGTCTCAACAAGCCCCAGCAACCATACATCTGGCTAAGTGGCTCCAGGCCTGGCACAAGCAGCAACCAACTTTGGATCACAGTTTGGCTTTGACTGGGAATCTCCACGCCCAGCACACGTAGCAGCCATCTGAAGATTGCTTTGTAGCTCATGTTGGGTTGCCCTGGGAGGAACACAGGTGGTGGCTGATCCTGTCCTGCACCACTCAGGAAACCCCAGAGCCTGTGTACCCAGTGGACAGCTACAGACCACATCGGACCACCACCACCCTGCCTCTACATAGCTGATCCTCCATGGAGGGTGGAGTTTGGCGGTTAGTGGTCACAGCCAGTCCTGGCAGCTGCCTGGCCTGGAAAATCCCTCACATTGACCTGCTAACAAAAATCAAGGCTCAGCTATAAGAGAAGGGTGTACTCTGAAGACTCAACCACATGGAGTACCCAGCCTGGGTGATAGGGGAGGCCATGCCATTGGTCCCTACTACATTAGGTCACCCGACCAAGGCAGGGAGTCATAGCAGCTCTACCTAATACATAGAAACAAACACAGGGAGGCTGACAAAATGAGGAGACAAAGAACCATGTCCCAAATAAAAGAATAGATCGAAACTCTAGAAAAAGAGCTAAACAACATGGAGATGAGCAATTTATCAGATGCACAATTCAAAACACTGGTTATAAGGATGCTCAAGGAACGTGGTGAGTACCTCTATAGTATAATAAAGAGCCAGGCAGAAATGAGGTATTTAATAATGGAAATAAAGAATAATTTACAGGGAATCAGCAATAGAATGGATGAAGCCAAGAATCAAAGCAAGGCTATGGCATATGAGGTATCAAAAAACAACCAATCAGAATAACAAGAAGGAAAAAGAATCCATAAAAACGAGGTCAGTGTAAGGATCCCTTGGGACAACTTCAAGTATACCAACATTTGCATCATAGGGATGCCCAAAGGAGAAGAGAAAGAGCAAGAAACTGGAACTCTATTAAAGAAAACTTCTCTAATTTTCCGAAGGAAATAGACATGCACATCCAGGAAGCACACAGAGTCCCAAACAAGATGGATGCAAAGAGGCCCACTCCAAGACACATCATAATTAAAATGCCAAAGGTTAAAGATAAAGAAAGAGTCTTAAAAGTAGCAAGAGAAAAGAAGTTAGTTACCTGCAAGGGAGTTCCCAAAAGACTACCAGCTGATTTCTCAAAAGAAATTTTGCAGCCTAGAAGGGATTGGCAAGACATATTCACAGTCATGAAAAACAGGGAAATACAGCTAAAATTGCTCCACCCAGCAAAGATATCATTTAGAATCGAAGGGCAGATAAAGAGCTTCCCAGACAAGAAAAAAAATAAAGGAGTTCATCATAACCAAACCATTATTATATGAAATGTTAAAGGGACTTATTTATGAACAATAAAATGGCAATAAACACATATTTATCAACAATTGAATCTAAAAAACAAACTCAGAAAACAAGAAGTAATCATGGATATGTAGAGCATTCTGATGGTTGCCAAATGGGAGGGAGGGGGCTTGGGGAAATTGGTGAGGAGGTGAGGGGATTAAGAAGTACAAATAGGTAGTTACATAATAACCATGGGGATGTAAAGTATAGTACAGGAAAAGGAGTAGCCAAGGAATTTATATGCATGACCCATGCACATGAACAAAGAGGTGGTGATTGCCTGAGGCAGTGGGGGGTGCTGGGTGAGGGGGCAAAGGGGGAAAATTTGGGACAACTGTAACAGTATAATCAGTAAAATATAATTTTTCTAAAAGGCAAAAAAGATTCCTCTAGCATGAAATACAACCACCATTTCTAACACTTTTTAAAGGGCCTTCTTGAAAAGGAGAAAGTTATCTTGACATTTTATGTGTCATATGCACTGGGAAAAGTAAACATTATCTAAGGCATTGGAAGATGTTTGTTGATTTTGCCATTAGTACCCACTGGTGTGCTTGGGTCCTAGAAGCTCAGGTGGGGACGCAAAGGCCAGCAGTATGTTATAAGGTTGTTTATATGAGCAGTAGAGCTGGAAACAGGACAGATGTCGGAAGTGGCAGGAAGGCTCCCAAAGAAGGGCTGATGAGGCACCAAAAAGATGTATTTCCTGTAGTAAGCTGTTTATTTTGGTTAGCTCCACAATGTTCACCCTCAGAAAGTCAATAGTTACACAGATATTTTTGATTCTTTTAACAGCTCTGAAGGTTAAGGATTTAAAACTTTCTCTACCACAGAAGAACGTAATCTACTATGTGTATTATGTAAATATGGTCCAATATGAAAAGAAATATCCCTTTTGAGAATTCCACAATTATCTACACGTGGTCATTCACTTCCCAACAAATCCCACCTGTGAGCTGTATAGCCTAGTGGCCAAATGCACAACCTTCAAAGTAGACCATCAGAATCCTGGCTCAGCTACTTATTGTCTGTGTGGCTTTGGGAAAGTTATTTAAGGGGTCTGTGCCTCACCTGCACGGTGAGAATGATAACATTCCCCTCATATGAGTAAAATGAGAAACCACAAGTAAGGGAGACAGAGTCATGCCCATTATAGGGTGGCTAACTCTCATTAATATTTCATTATTTATTATTTCCATTTTTATGGTCCAAAGTATGGGCCCAGGGATGGTAAATCACTCCCTACTCACTATATTGCTAGACAGTAGAAAAATCAGTAATAGTTCTTTTTTTATTCCTCCAAAACTACTTATGTAGTACTTTGAGATTTACTCCAATGCCTTTCATACATAATGCTAATGCTTATTAAAAGTATTTTGGTGTCATAGAAGGCTCTTTCCATGACAATCATAGCAATAGACAACTTTATTCTAGACTGTTAGCTGAGTATTGCATTATTTCATTCTCACAAAATCCTAGGGTATAATATTATCAGTTTTAAAGGTTAGCAAACTGAGGCTTAGAGAGGTTCAGTAACTTGCTTAAGGTCACATATCTAGTGAATGTCATTAAGAATTTAAACATAAATTTATCCAAATCAAAATGGCTACACATAATTTAGAAAGTAGTTCCACGTTACCATTTGTTTTTAAATGATTCCAAAACTACCCGTGTTAAAAATGGAACCATGTTGTGAAATATACATGACTCTACTTGAAGTCCATTTTTCATAATCTACAATTAAAAAAAAACAAAACACTTTTTAAGTGAATAAGAGCTGAAAGCTTTACTTGGTACACAGCTCTTGAATCCTAATTGAGTCTAATTTTCTCACATCTAGGGCAAAGGTTAGCTTGGCCACAGTCTGCGGTGCTGTGGAATTCTTTTCTGGGCCGTGACCATGGAAACTACTCTAGGAATGGGATTGAAATTAGGCTCTGCAGCATCATACTGTCCTGACATACCATTTTGACATGTAATGTGCTGTCTTTCTACTTGGACACTAATATAAATCTGTCAAATTACATGCACAAAGCAGCATTCAACTTCCTTCCTCCCTCCCTCTCTCCCTCCCAGGAAGAGTTTCTTCTTTCAAGTTCCCTAAGAACTAGAGCTCACTCACTAATATATGCTCTGGAGGCACAGAACTATTTTTTTAACACTGTTTAGGGCAGGATATAAGGTAACCACAAATTTGTTGTTGTTGTTTGTAGTCATGACAATTTCATCCTTTAACACTTAACTTTAACACTGGCATTACTTTCTCCAGAAGCCTTCCCTGATTTCCATTTGCTGGGTAATATACCCAATCTCCGTGCTTTCATATCATTACGCTTTCTAGTCATAAAATGATGGTTTTTAAAGCATATCTCCCTCTCTAGACTGTATTTGCAGACAAGAATCATGTCTTATTTAAGGTTGATACTAAGTACCAACATGGAGTCATAGCAGGACAGGTTGGGCATTTAGACATTTTAGTTGGTTGGTATAAGTGTAAACCGGTTATTAAATTCTCTTAATATCATGTGTGGCCTTATATCAATATTAAGCATAATTATAACATCTTGTACATGGTAGGTGCTCAGATAGTGCTTGTTGACTTAATGACCGATTTATTGACTGGATGTATATACATTGCACATATCAGAATCTGATTGACAAATAGACCTGTAATGTCATAAATGATCATGAAACATTCTTTTTAATCCTCGCCTGAGGACATTTCTTCATTGCTTCCAGAGAGAGGGGGAGGGAGAGAGGAAGGGAGAGAGAAACATTGATGTGAGAAACGATTGGTTGTCTCCTATACACACTTGGACCAAGAATCGAATCCACAGTCTAGGCATGTGCCCTGACCAGGAATCGAACCCACAAACTTTCAGTTACAGGACAACGTTTCAACCAACAGAGCCACACCGGCCAGGGCAACCATGAAACATTTTTAATATTCAAGATCCCTTGATCCCTACAGATCCCAATGACACTAATACACTACAAAGAAATACTTGCTCATGCCTCCATGAGGCCTTCACACGATTCTGTCTGAACCAGTATTGTCTTAGTGGTCTTCTCGGTCCTATCCCAACACAAACATAATGGTAACCAAAGCATAATGGCCAAGACTGATGGTCTCTGGGCACTCTGTGTTTGGAGTGGTAGAACACTTACCTGTCTGTGCTGTTGGGAGACTTGGTATCCTAATCCTGTGACGGGCTGATTCTGCATTTTCTGAAGCAGGATCTTTTGCTGAAGTGGCAAGGGCGACCTTAGCAAAGGCTGGTTTGACAGAGGTTGGGTGGGCTGGGATGGTGGTTGCTGTTGCTGCTGCTGTTGTTGCTGCTGCTGCTGCTGTTGTTGCTGCTGCTGCTGCTGCTGCTGTTGCTGCTGCTGTCGTTGTTGTTGCTGCTGAGCTGCAATCGAGCTCTGTGGTTGCTGCTGCTGCTGCTGCTGCTGCTGTTGGGTGTAGTGTAGGAGAGAAGGCTTGTTTTGAGAAGGCAAAACAGAAGGCATCTGTTGGTTTGCTTGATCTGAGTTAAAATGGAACAAAGGCTTGGTGTTGCCAAGACGGGGTTCCATGGCCGTGTGTGAGCTGTTAATAAAACTTCGAGTGAGATCCTGAGGCTTTTGCTGCATGAGTGCATCCAGGTGCCCTCCCTGGGCCGAGGGGCTGGCCTTGTACATGTAGTTAGCCATCACTTTCGACTGGCTGCTGCCACCGGCTACCCCAGGCATGGGAGAGCTCTGTGGGCTGAATGGCTGCTGACCAAAAGAAGGGCTGGGGATTTTCTCCTGCCCAAATTGACCTGGAGATGGCCCAGCGGGAGAGGGCAAGGCTGACCAGTTTGTAGGCTGGTGCTGCTGCATCCGGGCATGCTGCTGGCGGTTTGCGGCGATCTGCTTGAGCTGCTGGGCGTGGGATACTTCCTGCCAGCTTGGCAGGGCCCGGCTTGCTCCTGAGGCTGTCTGAGGCTGAGCCTGGCTCTGAGGGACTGAAGGAACTGGGGATGAAGTGGACAGGGCCGACGTGGCCATCGAGAACGCAGGGCCAGCTGATGGCGGCCTCAACTGAGGAGAGCCCGACGGGCCCTGGGTGAGACCAGGGGAGTATTCACTTTTGATCACTGTCTTCTCCATAGGCAAGGAGGGCCTGGGAGTGCTCCTCTGGCTTTGCTGACCCAAGTCAATGTTAAATGGATCATCCTGCTTTATGGTGGCATTGATCATGTTCTCCAGCTCAAGGTCACTCATTGGAGGCACAGATATGTTGGTCAGTTCATTGAACAGTTCCTGCAGTTCAGGATCCATCAATTGCTCTCCGGAGTCATCTCCGTACCTATTAGGAAAAATATTCTCCTGGGTCATTTGGTTATCCATGTGCTTACTGCAAGACAGAGCCTCTCCTGGTTCCTTCTTTACTTCTTTTAAGCCCATGTTAAACATGCCATTGCCAGGAGAATGTGTATGGGGGGGCAGATTGTTAGTCTTTCTCAGGGGTACTTGGCTCATAGGCAAGGTCCCTGACATAATCTGACTTTGTCCATTATTTACTTGGAGGCCCCCTTGTCCTGCAGAGAGGTTCTCCGCAACACGGATTCTTTTGATATCAAGGAATGAGTTGTCGACAAAGCCATTGGGCCTCTTGTTGTTGGCAGGAGACAGGTTAACTATCTGTTTTCTTTTCAAGGAACCCTGGAGCTGAAAGACAGAGGAAAAGTGAAAAAAAAAATGAGCTATTAATCCAGATGTGCTTCTAATAAAAAGTGACATAATATTTAAATGCTTCTTCCATTTACACAGAGGATGACTTTTTTTTTCTAAAAAGCACAAATGAAGAAGAGTCTGAAATATAATGAAACTTAGAGTGGCCCAAGCAGAACAAAACAAAATATTTCTGGAGGAGCAGACCAATTCATGACTAGAGATCACTGTAGTTCCCATGATTGCTACGCAGGCCAATGGATGAAGAATCCTTCATATATCATCAGGAGTTACTGATAATATCTACAATTAAGCACCAAAGTGTTGTTGCTGCTTTCTGTTGCAGGCCAAAATATCCTATATGTGTGCTCACACTACCCCACACAGCTATTGATGGCTGGCATGAGGTCAGCTTCGACCAAGATGTAAAACCCTGAAGAGTCCAAAGCTGGGACACAATTTCCAGCTGTTTTTTTCTTTCTCTTCACAGACTCAACCCTTCCATTATTATTATCCTCTAAGTAAGTACTTAGAATTATTGTTGTGTCCAAGGAGATAAGCTATCTGGTATTCATCTGTTTTTCCTCCTATAATTCTGTGGCTTTGCTTTCAGGCCCTGCAGCAACTTTCTGTGTGTGCACAGAAACCATGGTTTTACTATTTATTGAATGAGACTCTATGAGCACAGATTTTCCTGGGGATTCATTTCTTCTGTTCCCTGTCTCTGAATCTTGTAATGAAAACCAAAGGGTAGAGAGGCAGTACTGCACAGTACTTTAAGAATTAAGAATGTAGGCTTTGGGAGCTGAGTAAGTGAAGTAAATTCCAATTCTGTCACTGAGTGCTAAGTGACCATGGCACTTTACTTAGCTGAGTATCAATTTCTTATCTAGAAAGTGGAGACAGTAGCACTTAACTCATAGGAAGAAATGAGATAATGCATGTAAAAGTTTAGTGCAGTGCTTGCTAAAGTAAGGACTCAATAAACTATAGTTTAAATAAAAATTATGGCTTACTATATTCTCAAAGGGGAGGGTTTCTCTAAATAGAATCAGTAACAATGGAATGTTAAAGTATTTCATTCACTCAATTATTAGATTGTACAATATGAACTTTAGAAATTCTAGAGGAAAATCCAAGTCACAGCAATCATACAGTCACACCAATGAATGAAAAAGAAACAAGACATTCATCGTTGATCTTGAGCTCCTTGTTGATTTGCCTCTAAAGTGAGAGACATCTATCAATGTGTGGATTTTCCAGTCCAGCTGGCCTACTTATTTAACATTTGCTTGGGATAACTGTAAAATACCTGAGGCAAAAGGATATCCCACAGATAGAAAGTCCTATCATTTCTCTTTTCCTTCCTTTTCACTTACCATGACTCCACCACCCTCCTAAAGATTTCTAATTAACCTAATAAAGAAAATGTAATTGAGTGTTCATTACATGCCATGTATTTTAAATATGGTTACTTTATTTTCCTTAGTCTTTAAAACAGCCCCATTAGGTGTGTATTATTTTATAGATAAGGAAACCATGGCTCAGATTGGCTAAGAAACTTGCCCAGTGTCACATAGTTAGGAAGTGTTCCACCTGGGCTTTAACTTAAGGTCTGCATAGATCTAAAGCTTGTGTCATTTCCACTATATTATGCTGGAATTGGCTTGTTTAGGGCTAGAGTTTGCCCAGCAAGAAGGGGCAGGGGGAGTGAGCACAGAGACTTCCTGGATCTCTGGTAAAATGACAAGGAATGTGGGAATTGCCAGGAGGCAGCACAGAGCCAAATGTGAGAAATATGTTTCTTGTCATCACTACCTGTTTCAAATACTTTATCTGTGATTTTGCCCACTCACGGGTAGCATATAGTTTTGGTGGTATGCCATGGTGGTATAACCAGTTTTTGCCTTTTACCATTGCTAGCTGGTAATCAGAGAAAGGAGCCTGACCCAAGCTGAGCCAATCAGTTCCTTTGAAGGGAATTCTGGAACTGGAGAAAAGGAGGCCAGGCTCTCTTGGGGCGACTGCACAGTGATTTACAAAACATGTGAGCTGTTATTCCATTATGTCAAACAGAGCCAGAAAGTAAATCTGTAGAAAGAAAGAAGAATGAAACATGAAAGAGAGAGGCAAGTTTTGATAGCATTCGAGGGCTGATTCAATCCCAGGTTAGCTCAGCATCTCTCCTCATCTTCCTTGGTATACTCTGTAATCTTTAGAGTAAATTCCCCCTTTTCGCTTCAGCTACTATGAGTTGGGCTTCTGTTATTTTCAGCCAAGACTCTTAACTAAGTCCCATGTAACTTCATGCTTGGTGATGAGCAATTTTCAGCAAGGAGCACGGTATAATTTGTACCTGGGTGGGAAGCTCCCCACTGCCTTCTCTGAGGTCTCTCTGTGTTTCTGGACTCCTAATCTTGTCTACTTATTGATGTAGGGAACGTCATTACAGAACACTGTTAGCCATCACCACATCCACTGCCTGTCCTCCTGGGGTCAGAAAGAACACAGAACAAAGAGATCTGGCCATGTTACCTCAAGAGTGGCCGCACTGATTTATTTCAGTGTAAGTTACATTTTGAAGGTTCTTTCACAACTAATAAAGAATAAACAAAGGAATACATTCTTTTTTCCAGGTTTGGGTTATCACCTTTGATTTATTTTCCACTGCTTTGAAAAAACCTGTTCTGCCAGATTCTCCCATTGCTCTGGCTCCTCCCTGGGCAGTGCAGTACATGCTCTAGGAAGCAGCACTGGCGCATTCTCGAAGCCATCAGGATTGTAGAGGCGGTGCTTATGCCTCTACATGTAGCAATGGTTGTAGTAACAGTGATGATAAATAATAACAACAAAGCCATTTATTGAAGGCCGTGTGCCAGGGATGGTGCAAATCTCTCCGTAGGGGTAATCTCATTTGATTCCCACAACTCTAAGAATCCTTACAACTCTATGAGACTGAGACTATAGTCACTTGTTGCTTAGCGACGGGGATACATTCTGAGAAATATGTTGTTAGATGACTTCATCATTGTGCAAACATCATAGAGTGTACTTAATGCAAACCTACATGGTATAGCCCACCTGTAGGCGATATGGTCTAGCTTACTGCATCCTTTTAAAGCATGCTACTGTACTGAATACTGTAGAAGATTATCACACAATTGTAAGTATTTGTGTAACTAAACATAGGAAGGTACAAGGAATTATGTTACATAAGATAAAGTGTGTGAGTGGGGAGGGGCAGAGGTGGGCTGTGGAGGGAGGCCCCGTTGGAGGTGGGGAGAGTATACGTCAGAAGGAGGAAGGAAGGAAGAGAGGGAAGGAAGAGAAAGGGAGAGCAGAGATCAAAAGAGACCCACAGAGATAAAGCTTAAGATGAGAAATAATAAAAGGAAGGAAGGGAGGAGAGAGATTCAGAGACAGAGGTAGGGAAAGAGGAAGAGGGAAGGAGAAAGAGAGGAACTGGACTGGGAGGAAAGAGAGTGGGCTCCGATGCTCCTCGTGCGCCCTCACCAACCCCAGCCCTGGCAGCAGGCAGGTGCAGGGCGGGTGCGCAGCAGCTGAGCCTCCTTGTGTATTTAAACCATACAGAGCTAGCAGTACATTCAAAACTACAGTTGAGACTGGCCTTTGCTTTCCACATCACAAAATTTTTGTTTATAATTCATTATAATCTTAAGAGATTGCCATCATACATGTGGTCTGTTATTCACCAAAACATCACTGTGTAGCACTGTATTTAATACCTATACTGTATTCAATACCTATACCTTCCCCATTTTTTACAGATGAAATAACTGAGGTTTGGAGATTGAGTAACAGTTCAAGATCACACCAATAGTAAGCAGTAAAGCCTGGAATCAAACCAAACACCCCCACTGTGGAGCTTGTGCTGTACAGTAAATGGTACCCACACCCATGCATTGAGGAGGCCTGGGATCCAGTCCTGATTCTGGCATTAACTTGCTTTGCTATTCTAGACAGGTTATTCTACCTCCATGGGCCATGGTTCTCTTCTTCATAAATAAGATTACCTCTGAGAACACTTTCCTGCCTGAACCCAGAAAATAACAGGTACTGGAGGGGTAAGAATTATTTAGGCATATGTTTGGTGGTGTAAAGTCGGCACCAAGTATCGCTGGATGGATGACTTAAAAATGAGAACAGAAGTCCTCCTTGGTGATGCTGTGGAAGACAAATCATGAATAAAAGAGACCCCGCTAGGATTCCATTGGGCATTATACTTTATCAAGAGAATTTTGGAGGCAGTCTCTGTCAGAGATGGAGGTGAGAGAGGAAGGAACTGGACTGGAAGCATCTTGCAGAAGCTTCTAATCAAAGTCATTCACCAAGACCCACCAAACGCACAGAGGCAGCGGGCAACAGTGATTGGCACAATACTATACAAATGATTCTCAAAGTTCAAACTTTTTTTGGAGCATTTCTTTTGCTGAACTAAAAATTCATATCAAATACATGGCTTTGAATCATGGCATACAGTCACTTAGAGTTCTGTGAGAAAAAGCAACTATTTTGGCAGGCGTAGAGGAGGAACACAGATAATCATTAATACCTAAGTGATAAATAGTTTATGAGAAAATTCAATGCCACCTTACCAGACCAAAACCAGTCCTAAGGTAGTGCCCTAAGGGAATAAGACTCAATCATGTGAACGACGGGGAATGAAGACATAGGTTTGAATTGAGAAGGATGAAGGCAGGACTAGAGGGATACTGGGAACTGCCCAGTGCAGTGGTGAGAAAAGGTAAAATTGAGGAAGGGAGAAGTATAAGGACAGTGTATATTCTGAGGACCAGAGGAATCAACAACTTCCAGAATGCACTTGATAACATTGAAAGGACAGAGGGAAAAACCAGGGCTGACTTACCCATCATACATGGTCAGCCCAGAGCCCAGAGCCCACAGTAGTTTTAGGGGCCCTCAGAAATGTTTTCATTTATTTTAAAATGGAAGAAAAAGAACTTTTAGGTTATATA